GCTGCTGGGAGGGGGCGCAGACGTCAGTCAGCACTGAGCAGCGGCCCCAGCACAGCCCAACAGGAAGGGTGGGAATGCACAGTGGCTTCTCACACTTGAACGTGCACAGGCATTACCGAGGGATCCTATGAAGAGTGCAGATTCAGATTCTGTAGGTCTGGAGCAGCACCAGGGATTCTGCATTTCTGACAAGCTCTCAGGTGATGCTGCAGCTCCATGGACCACAGAGTCGGGCAGTGCATAACAGTAATGTCAGCCCTGAGATTTAAGAAGGATCTTAGAGTGGAAGAACAGGAAGGACTCAGGAATCACATAGTCTTGACTTCCTCAAGGTACTGACAGGGACAGAGGCCCAGAGAGGGTAAGGCACTTGCCCAAGGTCACACAGTGAAGTACAGGCAATGACCAAGTCTTCAGACTCCCACCAGTGCTCTGCCCACTGCCTCCCATTTGCAGCAGAAACTTGAGTCTAAGGGCAGAAGTATCCAGAGGCTCTTACACCCTCTCCCACCATACGCTTTCGGCATTTTCAACTCTGCAACCCACCTCCCATCTGAATATCCAAACTAGGGGAGTAATCCTGGGAGCAGACTGGCAGGGAAGACCGCACTCTGCAAGAAGCCTTTAGGGCTGCATCCCCTGGCCCTAGAGCTCAACCTGCCCCTCTCCACCAGATGCTGCACATCTGGATCCCCAGAGAGCACTTGAGTGATGGAGTGAAAGCATTTTCAGCACAGAGGAGAAGCCGTCTTCTCCAGACTGGATAAACAGAGTACTAACAACAGGAATTCATTTCCTAGAAACTAAACACTGAATTTGTTAATGTTTACAGGACCCAAACCTGCTATTCACTATCTGTTTTCCCCACTAGGATGCACAATATGGCCATGATTCAGAGCACAAGCTTTACAGTCAGGTAGACTGAATTCGCCTCCCAGCTCTGCCATTTGCTAGCTCTGTGACCTTGGGCAAGTCTCTCAACCTCTCTAAGCCTGTTTCCTCACCCATTCAATAGCTGCTTACTTAAAGCCTACCATGTGTTGGCATGAGCAACACTGATGTTGACCCTAGGAAGGGCCCTGGGGAGAGCCTCCTGAAGCCTGAGACCACGGACATGATGGAGGATGACGTTGGAGTGTGAAGGCACCCTGAGAAAGGAGGAGGGCAGGTGACCTGCTGCAGCCCTGAGATCCCCTCTGAAAGTGGCTGTGAGGCTGAGTGCAGGAGGACAAAGACAACCAGCAAGTGAAGAGGAGTTGGGGCCAATGACACCTATTCCATAGGACTGAAGAGCCCTTCCCTCCTGCACCCCAAATCCTTTTTCATTTCCTATTGCTTACCTACCCCGAGATCACACCGGCCAGCCCTTTCCTCTCACCCTCCTGCTCACCTGCACTCACCTGCAGCGTGACTGAGACCTCCTCCCGCGAAAACACTGTGTCTCCTTCCTCCGAGCCTTTGCATAGCCCATTCCCTCTACCCAGGATGCCTTTCTTCTCACCTTCTCCACCCTCTCTGGACCCTAGGGATGGAACTGATCCCTCCCTTCCTCCAGCCCCACTGGTCTTATTACACATCACACTGGACTCCCCTAAAGGAGCTCATTTGCTGACTGCCTATCTCCCTGTTGGGTTTGTGATCCAGAAAGGGGGGGGCGGCGACACGGTGTTACAAAGCCCAGTGCCCTGTGTGGGGTGGGGTACCTGTCATCCACCTGTCCAACTCCAACTTTACCCTTAATTCAGCTGTCTCCTCTTTGATAAAACTTGTCCACGCCTTCCGCCCAAGTGGGGTCAGCCTCCCTCTTCTGTGCCAACCAGTGCCTCCTGTTTATCATTCACACTGAGCAGCTAGTATCCTGAGGTCTAGTAACGGTGGCTCTCTCCCCACAAGATGAACATGTCTGGAGCAGAGACCCAGTTTTGTTCATAGCTGTGTTTGGGGCTTAATACTTACAGTGGCTCAGTAACGATTTCCTCGAAGAATGAGTCAAGGAACACTAACAGTTTTCCCTTCGGCATCCCTCTGTGCCTCTGGCCCCAAATGTCTTTGGTCATCCCTCCTGGATGGCCCTTCAGGGCCCCAAACTCAAAAGAGCCATCCATATCAGCCCCTCCTGCTTCCTCCCTGGCACACATTATCCTGTCCTTATTCACCCATCCCAACCCTTGAAATCCTCCCTCTTTCCCTCTCTTCTCCAGCATTTAACTAGTTACTTCCCTTTTATGAGAAGCTGAGGATCAGAAAGGTAATGCCATCGGCTCAAGGGCAGACAGCAAATAAGCAGCCAGGTCCAGGGCCATGCTGTGAACAGCCCAGACTCCCTCTTCGCCCGACCTCTCTCGCTCCCCCACAGGTGCTGTCTCTCCCCTTCTCTGTACACATTTGGGGCTTTTGCATCATGGCTCAGGCTGACAGATGGCTCTCTTCCTGGGAAAGCAATCTTTCCCTTTCCCCTTCACACACAAGCTCTTGTAATATGCTCTCTGAGGTCCTTCCCAAAAGCCAGTTCTTCCAGGAAGCCTTCTATGCTCAACCAGATGCAAGCTCTCCCTCTTTAAACCACCAGATTCCAGGTTTGTTTGTGCCTTTTACTGCCTATAGCTGGAAGCTCCTTGAGGAGCCACCTCTTCTCTTCCCACTCCAGTGCCTGCAGCTCTAGATCACAATCAACGCAGAATAACTCCTCTTGCAAGGCTCAAATGAGCCCCAGAGAAGTAACAGCATCCCCTCTCTCCTATTTGAAACTCTCCAATGGGTCTTATTATCAGGATAAAATCCAAAATCCTCACCACGGCCTACAAGGCATGGTATAACCTGCCTCCACCCCCAGACACTTACAGACCTCATCTCTTAACACCTGCCTCCCTTAAACATCACCTCTTTGGCAAAGCTTTCATAAGTAGTTCTCATCCCCTGTCCTATCACCCTACTTTATGCTCATTTGAGCACTTAACCCCTCTCTGGTATGTCCTACTTGTTTATATATTGCTTGTCTCCCCACCTTCCCTTCAAACACTGCACCTTTTGTCCAGCTCATTCCTATGTCCCCCAGGCCTTGAACTGTGTCTGACTAACAATAAGCAGACAGGTCCACAGCCTGGGGAGAGCTGTGGGCTGGAGACGTACATGTATGAGTCATGTGCACAGAGGTGGTAACTAAAGCCACTGGGTGGATGAGCTCAGCCAGGACCCGTGTCTACCAGGAGCAGAGAGGAGGGCCTGGGAAAGCAGAGCAGCTAATGGCTGCAGAAAGGACAGACCTACAGAAATAACAGAGACAAAGGAGGGAAAATATGACAGTGTTAAGTTACAGAAGCCAGAAGCCAGCATTTCCAGAGGAAAGGAGTGGTCAGCAGTGCCAACTGCTGCTGAGAAAGTGAAAGACTGAACAGTGTCTCCTGAGGACACTGGTGACCTTAGCAGACCTCTACCCCTCTACAGCCCTCAGATGGGAGCCACCTGTGCAATGAGAGGGACCTCTGAGGTTCTGAGAATTCCCAGGTCTGAGAATGTGTATTGCTGCTCATATCCACATCATTGTCACCAAAAAAGACAGTCATCCATCTGCAGCCTAAGAGACAAGGGACGACAGTCCACCCACCTTCGTTATTTATGCCAGGTAACTGAAGAACTCAGAGAAAGCATCTGTGTGTTTCCAGCCCTGTATCAAGCACCGTGGAGAGGAGAGAAGGCCCGGTCCTAAGAGTCATGTCCAGCTGGCAAGCCCCATCCCTCCTACACCACCCTCAGGTCCTGGCTTTCTGGATGCCTCCATGACAAAGACCACTCATTTCTCCCCACCAAAGGCCGGAGAAGGCCCAGCTGCGTAAGAGGCCTTGCTTGCTGCTGTCAGTAAAGGGTCTCTCCATGTCCTTCTGAGGAACGCTGAGACCCTGGCCAGTCGTGTGGTCCAGAGCAGAGCGCAGATCCACAATGTGTGCCCAGTTAGAAGACACGGGAGGCTGCTGATGGCCACTAATGACTGAGCTGTTGTTGGTGGCCAGGTGTGAGCAATGACCCCCTCTGATTTGCACAGCAAGCCTGCAAGGTGCCATTCTTTTCCCCATTTTATATGGGAGGAAACCAAGACTCAAAGAGGTTAAGGGCTTTCCCAAGGTCACACGGCTGTGGTAAATAGTCGAGCCCGGTTTGCTAACAGAGCCAGTCTGAGAGACCCAGCTCTTAATCCTTGAACTTCCCCAGAGCTGGTGAGGCAGGGAACTTTGGTCTTGTATTATCTTACAAGCAGTGTGACCTTGGGCAAGATTTAGTTCCCCTCTCCTCATCTGCAATAAAGCAGATTTCTTATTGCTTGCAGTTCTGACGCTACAGTGATCAGCTAGGATGTGTACAGAACTTCACAGTCTGTAAAGGCATCCATCCGTACATCTCATGTATTCCCACGGAGCCTTCAGAGGGGGAGAAGCATCCCCTCCATTTGATAGATGTGCAGACTGAGGTTCGAAAAGATGCAGTGACCTGACCAAGGTCAGAAAGCAAGTCAGGGCCTGCCTCGGCTTGGGTCTGGAAGCCGAGGCTCCACACTGGACGCCCTTTTAACTCCGCCGCAGAAAAGGGCGGCCCCGCGCTGCGCCGCATCCCGACCTGGCCGGCAGGGGGCAGCGCCCGCCTTCCCTGGGCCGCCCGGGGCCACGTGGGGGAGTCGCAGCCCCCGACCCTGGGGGCGCGCCTCCCGCCCCGCCAAATTTTGCTTAGCCGCGGGGCACCGAACGCGCACCCGGGACCCTGCACCCGCCCCCGAGCGCGGCCTCGACCACCCTCTATCGCGGGGCTCGGGACGGTGTCCCCCGGACGCTACCCACGGGCCGCGCTGGTCCTCCGGGACCCACTTCCCCGCGCGCGCACCGCCCGTCCGAAGGCATCCGAAGCGGGACGCCCGGTCACCGAGGCCCTGGGGAGGGCGACCCCCCGCCCCAGCTCCTCCGGGACGGCCGCAGCGGCCGGACTGCGAGCCGCGCGAGGGCCCCGGCGCTTACCCATCCCGGGCCACGCAGGTGCGGGCTCCTGCTTCCTGGCGCAGCGCCTCGTCTCACCGCCGGTGGCCGTTTCATCGCCGCCGCGACCCCCGGCCTAGCTCCGGGCGCCGCCCGCCCCGCCACCCCGGGGGCTGTTCCCGGGGCCGCGCCTTCGCGCTCCCGCCCCTCCCAGCGCCCTGCGGCTCCTCCGCATCCCTTTCCCGCGCCCGCCCGCCGCCCTCCTCGCTCCCCTCCCCCAGCTCCTCCCCCGCGAGGCCCTCCCCACTCGGCCCCCCGCCCGCCGGGAGGAGGCTCGGCCCTTCCAGTCCCGCCGCGCCGGGAGCTCCAGCCCCCGCCTTCGCCCCAGCCCCGGGGGGTGGGGCACCGAGTAGGGAGGGGCAGGCCCTCCGGTCCCCACCTGTAGCCGAGCGGTGGGCTGGGTCCGGAGTAGGGGGTGGTGAGAGGCGGACCGCGTCCTGAGACCCTTGAAAGTCCAGCCACCCATCCGTCCCTATCTCCCGTGTTCATCCGTAGTAGGATTTTTTCCCCCATTTCATTTAACAAATATTTCTTGATCTACTGTGTGTCAGTCACATTCTAGGCACTGGGGATAGAGCAGTGAACAAACAGACGGGGGACCCATGGAGTTTACATGAATGTAATAGATAAAACAGGAAATGTTTATAGAGGTAAACGCTATAGAGGAAAATGAATAGGAAAAGAGGTAGCGAGGGAGGGTGGTGGCGTTGAATAGGGAGGTCGGGGGAGGCGAACCTGGGAAGGTGGCATCTGAGCAAAGATGGGAGGTGAGGGAATGGGCCCTGCAGGAATGCGGGGAAACGGCATTCCAGGTGAGGGACAACAGCAGATACCCTGAGGCAGGCAGTGACCACGCCAGTTTTGGGGCTGAACGAACAGCAGGAAGCTGAGGTCAGAGATGCTGCAAAGGGGCAGCTCCGGCCTTCATTGAAACAGCAGATTCTGAGCCCCGGCCCCACCCCCAGGTTCATGCAGGTGTTGGGGGTGCTGAGATGAACCTGCCTGGTTCCAGGGGCCAGGGTTGGGAGAAGAAGAGCACAAAGAGGAACAGGAGAAAGGTCCACCGCAGAAGCGCATGCTGGTTTGTCTCTTGTGCAGATCCCCCCCAGCTCACGTGGAGGAGCTATAGCCTAAAAGGCGTCTATATCCTAAAAGGTGTTTTGTCTCCTAGTTCTCCATGTATCTGAATCCTTGTTATTCCGTGGATCCACTATTAGGATTGTTAGGTCCCCGTGATGAACTGACCCTTTTATCATTACGAATTGACGCTGTGTTCCTGGCAACAGTTCTTGTCACAAAGTCTCCTTCGCTGGCAGGAGGCAGGGGACAGCAGTACCCACTGCCGCGGGGATATTTACAGCCCACACAGCTGTTTGACATCTGGCACACCAAAGAATCAGCAGCTTATCCAGTTTTTCTTTTTCATGTCCTTCTGTCTCTACAAACACCTATCCACCTGGTCCTTCTCTCCTTTCTCCACACCTCACCCTCCTGGTTTATCATTTGACCACTGGCCTGGAGCTTCATCTGCTTCATCTTTCAATCTCTGTCTTTTTTGGAAGGCCGTGATCAATGATCATTAAAAATGCAAAAGTTCTTTTTGTCTTAGTGCAAATCACAGGCATATAAATCATCGGCCAGTAGACAGGAGTTATCCGCAGCCACACCTCCACTCTACTCAGACCCTGGGCTCTTTTCCCAAATAGGAAATGAGAAAGTTTAGCAATGCCAAATGTAGGCATTTCCCAAAATATATATTGCTGCTGATTGCCCAAGCTGAAGAGTCATAGAGGAGGAAGGGGGTCCGGTCTACACAGCGGAAGCATTTGCAGCTACTGCCAGAGTCCCAGCCTGAGATCCTGCAGCTGGGAAATCCACAGGGCAAAGTAAATATAGACACACCTCGGGTGTGTGTCCTCAATGAAAAAACTCTGATACTCCAGAAATTGCCCTGACCAGGGATGAGAAGCAGAAGGGATAAGAAAGAGGGACCACCTTTGGGCAGCAGCTCCATGTACTTTAAGAAAGCTTGTCATTTAATAACAAAAGCTACCCAAAATGGTAAATGCCATTGGAAACCTGGCGAAAGAAAAAGGCTGGGTCTACTAGGGGAGGGTTTTCTTCAGCCTCTCAGCCGTCACCCTGAGCCAGTGGATGGGTTAAACACAGTCCGCACTCTCGGGAAGCTCACAGTGCAGGAGAGAAAGCCCATATGCAGTTAAGCACAGCACAGGGTGGGGGAAGGGAGAGAGGTAGCTGGAGCCTTAGGGGCTCAGAGGAGAGCACACCCGGCCTGGGAGATGGGCAAGGGCACTGAGCCTTGAAGGGTGAGTAGGAGGCATCCGTGCAAAGAAGAGGTAAGGGAGGCAGAGAAGTTCCCCGGTAGAAGGAACAGCATGTATAAAGGCATAGAAGATAAGGAGAGAACTTAGTTAGGGCAACTGCAAGTCTGTGGATATTGTTAGTCAGGGGAAATGGTCAAGATGAGGCTGGACAGACAGGAAGGGGCCAGCTCACGAAGGGCTTTGAGTGCCAGGTGTAGGACCCTGGGCTTTATCCTGAGAGCCATGGGAGCCATGGAAGGGCTGTTAGTAAAGGATTGGCATGACTAGGCAGGGCAAGTTGGTAGTCGCTGGTACCCTGAACTCTGATACCTCACTGTTAACAGTTCCATCACAATCCCCATTGCTGCTTCCATGACGAAAAATCCTGGGACAATTCCCTGATCAGCTTCCTGCCCCGCCAAACCATTCTGCATGCTTCACCAGAGAAGGATCCTTAAACATGGAATCCTCCACCCAAACATTTCCAGTCCCTCCCCGCTCCCTCCTGAAGAGGTTCCAATTCCATCATCCTGGCATTCCAGACTCTGCCCAGTCTGTTCACACTGGGTATGTCCTGCCTTCTCAAACCTGGCTCATGCCCTTCTTTCCATTTGGAAAGTTCTGATCCCCATTTCCACCAGTCAGAATCCCCCTCGTTTCCAGAATTTCTCATACCTCTTTGGCTCACCATGACTCATTCCGTCAAGGCTCATCTCCAAACCCCCAGGTTCTCTGCAGGGCCCCTGCCACCCCTCCTCAACAGAAGTGGCAGCTCCCCCTTGGAGGTCCAGTGGCAGAATGGGCATTAGAGGCGTTGACTGAGTGACTGAGTCTGAGTCCTGATTTCACCACTCGTTAGCTGTGCAGCCCTGGATGTGTTATCTGAATCCCATGAGCCTCATTTTGTTTATGCGGGCAGTGATCCAGTAATAGTACTTACTTCATGGAGTTAGGATAAGGGCTAACTTAAAATCGCATCTGAAGTACATAGCACAATGCCTGGCACCCAGGACGCCCTCCAGGAGCATTCCCTGTCACCATAAGTGAAGGCAGGATGCCACACCTTTAACATTCTGGGTCTGTCTCCCCCAACATTATCAGTTTCAGAAGGGTAGGGATTATTTCACCTAGGTATGCTCCCTGCCTCCCACTGGTTCTGACATATTGAAGGTATTCAGCTGAAGACTGATGAATGGATAGATTGGTGGGTGGATCCATTAATGAAAAAGACACCAGCCAGCCACTCCTGCTCTATCCCCTCTGCTTGGGCGTTGGGAGCCAGGCTTACCCTTTTCTGAACAGGGTTGAATGAATCATATGTCCAGGGACTAGTGTCTGGGCAAGCTTTGTAACCAGACAGTGCAGTTTGCATTTTCTTCAGGGGAGAGCTGTCTAGACAGAGGGGACATCTGCGCCAGGGAGGAGCAGGGACTGAATGGGAATCAGAATCCAGGCAAGGGCTTTTCAGGGAAGCAGAAGCCCAGCCTTCTACCTGTTTTCTTCCTTCCTTACTGCTCAGGACCTGGCCGAGCACGTTTGCCACCTGCCCCCAGCAGCGGAAGTTAGTTCACAGCTTCAACCGGGGAACAACAAAGAAGGGGACAGCATGGCCCTTCACTAGCTAGTGACAAGGGTAAAGAGAAGGTTGGAGAATCCAGCACAGAAAGAAGCCAGTTGTTATGTGCCAGGCTCTATGCTAAGTGCTGAGCAAGCATTATCCTCCCTGTGACCCTGTGAGGAAGGTATGTTACACATTCCCATTAGATGAAGAGACAGGCGGGGACCTCAGTTATATCTAACCCCCACGCCATGCTCCTTCTCATGCATCACGCATCTAGTCAACAAATATTTTGAGCACTTTGTCTTTGCACAGTGCCAAGGGAAGTGGTGCAGGGCAGCAAAGATAATTGAGCTGTGGGTTCTACTCTCCAGGAGTTTATAACCTAAGGACAGAGGTGAAGCCTTACTCACAGAGCCTGGAAACACAATGAATGTTGAATACAACACAGATTGTCAGAGCTGGGGGGATCTTTAGAGTTCAGGTATACCGATCCTGTTTATTTACAGCTGGGGAAACTGAGCCCTAGAAGGAGGTACTGACTGGAGAGTATGGTCAGGAGCTTGGGCACAGACCACCAGTTCTACCAGTTCCCAGCTGTGTGATTTTAGGCTTGTCACTTTCTCTGTGCCTCAGTTTCTTTGAAAAACAGGGATAAAACTGTAAGAATTAAGTAAAATCCTCCATGTGTGGGGGTTAGCCTAATACTTAATATGTAATCCCACAACACATTTGCTCTGATTATGATCAGTCAGTCACACAGGGAGTTAGTAACAACCCTAGACTAGACCCCTGGCTCCTGACTCACAGCCCAGTGCTCTTTCCAGCTCCCCATGGTTCCTCGTGTCCATTAGAGTGTGGTCAGGGGAGAATAAGGGTCACCTAGGGAAGGAGGTCGCCTATGATTAGGTGTCTGCTGTCCTTGGGGCGAGCACCCAGATGTCCCTGAACTCGTACCTCAGTGCCTTCCGCCACCCCTCCTCCAGATCTTTGTAGCCCCCCCTACCTCTTTCTCCCCTCTTGACTGGAGTCCAGAGACTCACTCCTAACTGGAACAGGCACCAAGGCTCCTGATAACATCCCCACACCTCCTCTTGCAATTTCCTGTGGGCCAGACTGGGTGGGGCCACGCTGGGGCAGGAGCCAACAGGAAATTCCCAGGAGCAGTGAGGGATGGTGTCCGAAGGCGGCCAACGATACTGTCTCCAGCATCAAACCTCCAGCAGGGAAGAGGCAGGTCCCCCAGGAGAGGTTTTTCTGTTTGTTTTCTAACCAGAGAATTTAATTAAGAGCTCGATTGCTTTGCCCAGGGACTAGAGACCCAAGGGGACAGCAGGGCTGAGACTGATGGCTGCCGGGAAGGGAGGGAGGGGCCTCTCTTGACTCAAACTGACCTGTGATGGGTTTAAGCTGCAGCAGAGAAATTCAGCCCACAGGGGGCATTTGGTCTGACCCCCCCGACAAGGATCTTTCCTTACAGGAACTTGTGAAGTTTTAGATGCTGCGGTGCAAATTGAAAGAAGCTTATAGCAGCCAAGGAAATAGGCAGAGTTTGAAATTCCCAATTGTCCTTACTTATACCACTCCAACCATCTTCCCTGAGGCTGCTGGGCTATAAACAGCGCAAAGCCAGGGGGCCTGAGTCCAAATTCCCCATACTCGACCTCCCTGAGTCCCAGTATCCTCATCTATAAAATGGGGACAACTCTACTAACCCATTTACACTATCCACTTGTAATATGAGAATAACAACATCTTTCTGGCAGAGCTGGGAGGTGAGGAATGAACGTGCCAGGGGCCTGGACAACAGAAGGGAGATAACGTGTCAGTGAGAAAAGAGCACAGGCTTGGGAATCAGGCCTGGGAGAAAACAGCAGCTCTGCTGCCCACTGGCTGCACGAACTTGGGCAGGTATGGCCCTTCTCTGAGCCTCAGTTTTCTCATCTGTAAGATGGGGAAGTTGATGCCTATTTCACTGGGTTATGAGAATTAAATGAAATATGACAAGGAAATACCTCCCACTGGGCCTGGCCCACTAGGCCCTCAATCTGAACACCTCACCTTCTCCATCACCACCAGATCCCCAGGATTTTTTTGTGGAAGGAAGGAGTTTCTGAGGAAGGACTTGTTGTGGTTTGCATTAACGTCTGACCTCTCCGCTCTTTGAGATTTTTCAAGGCTGGGAAGTTAGTCATTCGCAATGAGAGGACATGTTTTCCTTGGCAGGGCCAACACAGAGGGGGGGCTAAGGCCAGGTTAGTCACTTTAACAAAATCCACTGACTGGTTCTGTCTTAAAAAAAAATAGAGAGAGAGAGGCCATATTCAACTTAAGTCTAGTCATTTCAGCTAAAAGGAGTGGAGTGGAAGATGGGAGTGAAGGTGTGCCCCTGCAGAGGAGCTGATTTTCAGGTCTCTTGGTTTAATCCGTGACAAAGCTGTTTGAGAAGGACTTCAATGTTCCTGCCCCCGCAGGGCCAGGAAGAAGGCTTTACCTCAGCCTCGCATCTCCGGGCAGGCTTAGCAACCTCTTAGGAAGATCCGAGGCAAACAGAAACAAAAAACAACCTGGACCTGGGTTTGAGCCCCTGTGCACCCGGCCGTGAGTTCCTGCCAGGTGCCCTGGACCAGGACCCACCATCTCTGGAGCCTGCGTCCGCCTCCCTCACGGCATTCAGTATTAGTTTTCCTCTCGGCCGGCCATCTTCCTGTCCAGTGGAACTTTCCCAGCACCCCCGCTCAGTCATGCTTCAGCCCCTTACCCTCTCATAGTAAGTTTTTCTTAGCACTTACCTGACATTCTATTTTTGTTTTGTTTTCAATCCATTAACTCCACTACTGTCTATTGTTTGCCCCTCTACCCCAGGACCAAGATCGATGCCTGCATGTGCTAGATGCATGGTAGGTATTTCTTGAATGCATAAAATAATGTAAAACAGGGCTATTAGTTACCTGGCAGGACTGTGGTCTGGATTTTAGTGTGTTTACACCCGGTTCCTCCACTTACCAGCTATGTGACCTTAGGTGAGTTACTTCCCAGCTCATCTATAGAATGGGCATTAGTAAAAGTATCAACCTGTGTTGCGAGGAGCGCATAAAATGATGCATATAAAGTATTTAGCATAGTGTTGGGTGCATACTAAATGCTCAGTAAAAATCAGGTATTTGAACAGATAGGAGTTGAATTAAAGGTTTACTCCAATGCGTTTACTTCAATCCACCTGGTACATGGAGAAAACTCCAGGACTAGGGTGTAGGATGGATGAAGACAGGGAGACCACCCCACGGGGGAGACCATGCAGGAGGCTGTTGCAAGGAGTGTGGGGCCTGACTCTAGGCAGAGGCTGTGCGGAAGATGAGGGGAGAAAAATTAGGACTATTTCTGAGAAGCTATGTGCTCACTGGACCAGTCCCAGACCCAGGCAGAGCCACAGAGAGCACCCTCAGTCAGCCCTGCCACCCCCACAGGCTTGTCCTTCCCGCCCTCCTGGTCTGGGCTGACAGAACATTCCAGGGCAGCACTCCTCTGAATATTCCAATCAGTGAGAGAAGGGGCTGAGGCTAGAAAACCAGATGAGGCCCCCAGGGTGACTAAGCACCAGGCTCAGCACTTAAACACTCTTTAATCATTCTCCACAACAGCCTTTGAGGAGATCACCACCCCCATTTTATGGATGGACAGTCTGAGGCTCAGAGGGCTGAAACAACACCCAGGTCTCCTAGGAAAGAGCTGAGAGAAAACAAAAGCCACCTGCTAACAGCTTCCTGGATGCCAGGCACTGCCTTGAGGAGCACTTTCCATAAAATAGCTCTCAACCGATCCATGAGGCCTGTACTTTATTATCCCCATTGCACCGGTAAGGAAACAGCACAGAGAGGGCAATAACTTGCCCCAGGTCCTCAGCTAATAAATGACAGAGCTGGAATTCCAAAGTAGGCAGCTGGCTCTGGGGCCCTCGCCACTTGCTCTGAGTCTCTTTCTCCAACTATGAAATAGAACTGGTAACATCTACTCTTACAGGTCTGAGGGGGACAAATGAGATTATAATTTACCGGGATGCATTATGACAAGTGTGAAATGTGGAGCAAGGGGTTGCCATTCCAGAACAGAGAGTGAGGGAGGCCAGGAAAAGCAGCCAGCCGCCAGCCAGGCCCCCGCGGACACCCTTGCCTGTCTCTTCGCTGTCTTCCTAAGGCTCATGAGCCCCGTGCTCCCACCAGTTTTTCCATTGGGTGCATGTGTGTTTAATTCTTGTTACAGAGAGGAATTTGGTAAGTAGTGGGTTCTTCCTCAATGTAGAATTGAGCAGAGAGAAATTGGGCCAATGCTGTAAACCCATACATACACCAGCTCGTTAATTTACAGCCCATCATAGCATTCCCACTGCAACCCAGCTAAGCTGAAAAGCAGGATTTAATTCTAAAAAGGGGCTAGGGAGAAAAAATATATGAATGTTGGTTCCAAATTTAACCTTCAGGTATTGTGGAAAGAGCAGCTCTCACCTCTCCAAAGACCACAGAATTTGACAGTCTGACATTCAAGGGAACTTTCTGGCATGGATAATAATTAATTGACAGACACATTTGAGATTCCTGAGCATCCTTTTAAGACCTCAGGCATTCCCTTAAAAACATGAAGGATCTCTGAATTCCTTGTAGAAATAAACATTCATTCGAAAGACAATTTTGAAAGACTTAGAGCTGATTTTATCCATCAGACTAGGGAAACTCAAGAAGATTGGTAATACCCAAGCATTAGCTAGGGTGTGGGGAGATGGAATTCTCATTCACTCCTGGGAGAAATGCATGTTGGTATAGTCTTTTTGGGGAGACAATTTGGCAGCACCCATCAACAGTGTAAGTCAGCATGCTCTTTGACAATTCTATTGCTTGTGTCATCTTACAAAAATACTCTCCCATGTGCACACAGAAACATGTTTATTATAGTGAAAAAAATAAAGATGACCTATATGTCTTTGCATTCCTTTGGGTTAAAGGAATGATATTATATCTACATTGTGAACTATCATAAAGCAATTTAAAAAACTTGGTAGATCTCTGTGTTTTGCTATGATAAGCTGTGTGTGTGAAAAAAGCTTAAGCGAAAAAATCAAGTTGCAGAATAATATGTGTGGTGGATCCCATTCGTGTACCCCAGACTACATTTGCATATATTTACAACTATAAAAATGCAGGTAAATGCTAGAAAATTAACCTGGAAGGCATCACCCCAAGCTGCTAACAGTGGTCAGCTGGGGAGGGAGGAGGATGGAGCTAGTGAAAAGAACTTTCATCTTTAACTCTCACATATAATACATTGTTGTCATTTTTACAAGCATGTAACATGATTTTATAAATATAAAAGGAAAAGGAAAAAACTTTGTTATGAGGCCTTTGAGCTAACTACTTCACATCAGCAAGCTTCATGCTCCACATTATACAAAAGAATTTACTGAGGTAACTTCTGGCGTTAAAATTTTACAAATACTTAAAAAATTTTTTCAGTAAACCAAAGAATACTTCTAAATCAAAGGTTTCCCAAGCTGGCTTAAGTCAGGATCACCTGTGAAACTTTTTAAGCATCTCCAAGGATCTATAAGGCTGCTGTCAAAATTATTGCTGAGTTGTTTTATTTTTACAGTTTTTTAAAACAAATGTGGCAAATGAGGCTCAGAAAAGGAGACTTTTTCAAAGTCAAAAAGCAGGTCCCCCCTACGCAAGTTGGTGGCCTGTCCTCTCTTGTTGCAGGCCCTAGGCAAGCAAGCAAATCTCCCTTCTTCCCCCTCAACACTCCCAGACTGAGCCAGCTGTGAGCGCCATAGAATTAAACCTCAAATATTCTAAAGCAGCTCCAAAGACATTTCCTCCCATGCGGAGGAAAAGCATCCTTTGAGGAAGATGCTAAATTGCCTTAATCATGATTCTTTCTAAGGCACAACAAGCCCATCTGCTTTCATGGTGGGGGTGTAGAGACATGCTGAGCAAAAATACAAATCAACCCAAATACAAACACAATTAGCAGGTCCATGCAGCCCTGTAATCTAGAGAAAGCGGGAGAGTGGTGCCCAGGGCGTGACACAAGCAGGTCAGCCCACCGCCTGGTTCCAACTGGAGCATGCAGGAGCTGCTGCTGGCACCCGCACTGACAAAGGGGCGTTGGTGGGGGTGGGGGACTCGGTGCTGTACTAGGGAGAGGTTGCAGGAGGGGGACCTCCAGCCAGGGCCGCGCTGACGCTGTGCACCAGCAAGACTGCAAAGTTACAGCACCAGCGCAACTCGATAAACATGAGAGGCAGAAGGGGCTTGGTGACATCACCGTGCTGGATCCGACAGCTCTGGATTCAAACCCTGGCCCTGCCACTGACTAGCTATGTGACCTTGGATAAGATATGGAGCCTCTCTGGGGTTCCTCTTCTGTAAGGTGGGGTGCTAATACCCACTTCACAGGCTGAAGTGAGGAATGAAGTGATGTGTGTACAGCTCTCAGCATAAGACCAGGCATGATGAAGCGGTTCAGAGTTAGCTCTTACAATATTTCTCATTATTATCCACCCACTCCTCCCTGAAATACCTAGGGTTGATCCCCTCCTTCTCTTTCTGAGGCAGGAAGGATGCAGAGAAGAGACGAAACTCTCTAGGACAGCAACTTAATCTGAGTCACCGAAAGAAATCTGCAAACCTTGAGAAAATCCCTTCACTCCCTTTTGACTCAGTTTCCCCATTTATAACACAAGGACTGTAGGATGTTTAGGCCCTGATGACCTAGTATTTTATGCATGATGACAGCACCAAGCTGCCTCCGGACCTCATCCTGGGGGGATGAATGGCGGAAAGCCAAACCAGGGAAGAGAAATCCCCAGATACCTGCCCATCACTTACAAGAGTGTGCCGAGGACCCTTATGGGGTGGGCTGAAGATGCGGGTGGTTCTCTGGCAAAGAAAGGATGACATGGACATGTACTAGGCAGTGTTCAGGTTTTTCTTCATACATAAATTTATGGGACCATTGATGATGATAACAGCTTCTATTTTCTGAAATCTGTGCTGTGCTAGGCACTATGTGGAGCATTTTACTGAAGTATAATCTTTCATCCTGTAACACTACTAGAAAAAAATGACCCTATTTCAAAGCTTAGGGAACAGAGAGCTCAGATTACACTGCCACCAAAACAGCAGACATGGGATTTGAACCCAGGTCTGTGCTTTATGCTGCACCACTAGTTGGGAACTGTTTGAGCTGAAGAAAAGGAAATAAGTATGTACAGATTTACTCCTATATGCTGAGCAGCAGGCTAGATGTTTATTTCATATAAACATTACAATAATCTAGTAACATATCCATTAATGTTCCTGTTTTATAGCTGGGCAGACTGAGGTTCCCTGAGGCCAAGAACTAGATTCAGGATATAACAGCACGAAAGGACTAGCCTGGGCGCTCCTGACCTGCTTATTGTGACCTTTTGGCAATCTAGGGAAACTTACAGGCTCCTTCTCAGAATATGTTTTTAAATGCATTAAATAAAACACATAGAATTGCAAAGGAAACAAATTATAATGAGATGCTGTTGTCAAAATACTTTTTCTTATCCATGATATAATAATAAAAGTGCTTCTTTATTAACACATTAAATAACCAGACCTGACGGCTGGTCTAATGACTACTCTAATTTCAAAGTCCTGTTGATCATAAACAATATTTCAAAATATCCACAATAGCCATAATGTAATAGCAAAATACCTATGATTTTTATTGGAACCAAAGCCACAGGAAGTGCTAATAATATGTAGTTTATTGACTTCATTCAAAACTGGAGTGATGCTAACTTTCAGATAGAATATAGTGAAAACACAGATGTCACCTATCCATGTCCTGCCTGAATTCTGTTCATGGAGTTCTTGGGGGCCCATGGTTTCAGGTTAAATGTCCCCGTCTAGGCTGCATCTGTGGTCACTAGATTGAGCTGTACCGGAAATCAGGCACTGTGTGCTTTGGTAACCTACCAATGGCTTGTTTCATTGAAGACCAGTGTTTGACCAAGTGTGTGATGTCCATTACTTGTCCAACTCCATTATGCATACCTGGGGAAGAAGGTCTTTTATTTGGATGACCCAGCCAAGGGAACAGAACCCCTGAGAGGTACACAATACTGACACAGGGAGGTTCCTCCTGGGCATACCAGTCCTTTCTGGTTCTTAGTGGCTTCAAAGGGTGGCCTGAGTACATGAAAATGTGCAGCCCCAAATTTTTATATCATGTTAGGCATATCTTGGCCCTGGCTCTGTGGCCAACAGATAAGGTTTCTTCTCTCTTAAGTGGAAGACTATAGAGATTGATTAAGATCCTATATACGCCAAGCACTCAGATGCATTAATTCACTCAATTTATATTTATTAAGTGTATTGTTAGTCAAGATTCTTCTGAGCTAAGCACATAAATGGAGTGGGAGAGGGTACTGACTCACCTAACTGAAAAAGTCTAAGAATAGCACCCCCTCAGGTACAGCTGGATCCAGGCTCTATTTTTCACTATATTCTCAGACAGACTCCCCATGAGAGAAATAGAGCAGCCATCAGTAACTTCAGGTGCTTTTCTTACCTGTTTAGCTACCTCTGTAAAAGAAAGTGCCTCTTTCTCAATAACCCCAGAAAAAGTCCTGGAACTGACCCTCTGTGGATCAAGCTGGGACATGGGCCTATCTCCAGGTCAATCACTGTAGCAAAATGGATAGAACATGCTAATTAGTCAGGCCTGCGTTATGGCCAGAGCCAGTCCTCCCTGGACCACAAGGGCCCACAAGGGCTGAGTTGGGGTGGGAGTGGGGCCACAGGGAGGTCTCCAAGGGAAAATCAGGTTGCTGACAACAGAAAAATGGATTCTGGGAAAGAGCAGTGGATGTCCTCTGTTCTAATTGCCTCCTGCTTACCCTGTTGGTGAGGGAGGGACTCCTCCCTAAATAGTATGAGATGGCTGAACACATTCACCTGACACCAGACAGATGAACTCAAACAGAAGGTTATTAATCAAATATACTCACAGCCCTAGAGGAGGACACAGCCTGTCATGCAGGGCCACATGCACTCAGGAACAGAAGTGAGCTTTGTAGTAAACTGGAGGATGGGGTGACGTCTGGTTTCCTTGAGAGGATGTGATTGGCTTGCTTGAATAATTTCTCAGGCTGTCAGGGAGTTGAAATCTGCTAGGGTGAGGACTGGGTGGGGCACCTGCTCTGGCTGATAGGGGACTTGTTAGGGTGGGGAACCTTCCTGTTGGGCCAGGGGGCATATCTGGAGCAGGGAAACTG